GCCTATACAGTAATTTTTGTAAAGAATTATTTATTTTATTTTATTTATTATCATTATTTTTTTTTTAATTTGACCATATAGAGAGAAAGGGAAAGTGAGAAAGCAAGCCACCAAGTCTGGAGCAGGTAGGAGAACCTTGGCCAGCCACGAGGGCGTCCAGTGCCTTAAACACCACACCACGTGCGCGCCCCACATGGTTATTTTTTTCCCAGACTTCAGTTTTTTTGAAATCATCATCAAATACGAGAAGACAAAGAATGATCAGCTTTTACTGAGAGCCTTTCAAGAAACTTATCATGTGAATGCTATTGGATAAGAGTGGGTTTTTTTCAATGATGACAGGATATGCTAAATAAAAAATATTTTATAAAAACAGGACTGAATAGCTCTATCTCATTCCGAGATGCATAGGAAAAACCACATACTTAGAACTAGGATGGAAAGACCTGTCTTTTACAAAGCAGTAGAAATTAAATTCCTGCAGCTCTCCAAATTCACGTGCAAATTTAGCTTTACAGCTGTGTAGTGAGCACTTAGAACTCCTTTAGACTTCATAGACTTCAATATATAGACAGTTCATATCAGAAATAGTCAAAAAGAGAAGACTAAGAAGATGGATTATTATAACTCAACTCATACTTGGGCATTCTATGACCAAAACAAATAAATTGAATCTCTATTAGTTGAGTTTCTATACATGAAATTAACAAAACTTTTTGTAACATCATCTTACTCTAAGGAGCCAGTCCACCACTTGTTAAAACAAGCTAAATCCTCATCAGTTCCTGAGAATTAAAAGGACTGATAGGTCAGCCCTGTAGTTTAGTGGTTAAGGATGCCATGGCTGACCATGGTTCGAATCCTGGCCTCAGTAGCATGAAAAATGTGCCAGGTGTATATCCATGCCTGCCCCAAATCTAGGCAGGATGGGGAAATGAGGAAGAAGGGATTGTGGTATGACCATGTCTCATGCGAGGGATATTTTCTTCTTCTCTCTCTGTCTCTCTCTAGTGAGCTCATGTCCCCTCTAGCAGTAAGAAAAAAAAGGAAAAAAAAGAGTGTTGTAATATTCATCAAGCGTGAGAAACTTACACCCATTGAAAGGAAATTTAACATGGCTACCACAAGTGTTATTTATGAAATGTCCCAGGTTTTAACTCTTAGGTACCATGTGGTTCATTCACAGGTAGCTTGCAGTCTTCTGCGCCTTCTGTGTCATTCCTGCACTTGAACATTACGCCAGCACAGGGCCCACAGTTGTCAGTTGCACACCTGGATGATGTGCATGCCACTTCCAGAGTGCCTCCACCAGAACCAGAGGTGGGACTCTGGGAAAGTATGAAGAAAGAGGAATCCGGATGGGATGACACAACTCACACAAGTGTTATCTTAGGTCAGGCAGTAGTACATCCACATATTACTGCGACTATTTCCAGATTTGTGGAACTTTACTCTAGGGAGTCATTTTGCTTTGGACAGTCTAAGTACATGACATTTTTATTTATTTATTTTAGGTTTTTGCCGTAGGGCGCATGAGCTTGCCAGAAAGCAACAGAGAGAAGGGAAGGACGGCCACACTGCAATCCCTTCTCCTCCATTCTCCTGTCAGAATTCTGGGCATTTAGATGCATGGAAATAAACTTATACCTTAGTTTACTTTATTTCCTCTTCCTGGAAAGTGCCTTTCCTTCTGCCTGTTAGAAATACTGTCATCTGTCAACAGCTAGTTCAAATCCTAATCGACCCATAAGACCTTCTACAACTGCCACATACCTATGGTGATTTCTACATTTTTTTTTTTTGAAAGAATTACTTATTGAGACTGGCAGGGGGTGTGGTGGTTAAGGTGCTGAAATCCCACATGGCTGATTGCAGTTCAAATCCTGGACCTGGTGTCTCTGGCCAATTAAAATAGATTACTTAATTAATTTAATTTAATTAAATAATTCTTCCCCAGAAAAGAGCTATTTATTTTGTTTATTATTATTTTTTAATTTGACCAGAGAGAGAAAGGGAAAGTGAGAAACCAAGATACCAAATCTGGGACTCAAAAATAGGTTATCCATGTGGGAGTCCAACCTTCACCCCCATGCCACCTGCAGTCCAATTTCTGCTTGTTTTGAATTCTAACCTCATTTTGCTTCTTAGAAATTTATTATTGTCAGGTTTATCTGTTTTGTTTTGGGCTTTTCTATGTAAGTCTTTTTCCTCCAACCACAAAGTGTCTTTCTTATTTGTTTTGTTTGTTTGTTTAGGTTTTTCCATAGCATGTGTGCGCTCACCAGACAGAGAGAGAGTGGAAAGTGAGAAATAGCCCCTTGGGGATGGCCCTCAGTCCCTTTTCTTCCATTCTCCTTGAGGGATTTTTGAGCGCATACATAGCATAGTTTTTAGGCTGCTGGGTCCAGGGCTTGAACCATGGATATATGGAGATGTGAGAGTCCAGCGTTGTAACCACCACACCACCTCTGGCCCCTAGGCTGCCTTTCTTAAAGACAGAAATTATTCGTGTAATAATAGCCTAGTATGATAACTCTCCCTTGTAAGTTTCATTAAATATTTGTTGGCTGATTAAAATAATTTGCTACCTTTATGTTGACTTACATTTAACATTGTTTCTCAAGGGGAGAAAAACAACTCCCAGAGTGACATTTATTACTTTGCAAACTTTTCATTTGTGCAGTCATTAACATCAATAAATGCCTCTTAATACTGGAATTCATGGCAAGTCTTAGTTATTAGGAGATAGTTCAGATAACCCAAAATACTAGCTTTTGGAAGTAGCTATGATAATACAAAAATACAAAAATTCTCAGATCCCTGAGAATTCTACTGAAGCATTCCTGTCTGTGAGAAATACTATTTTAATAAATCCTCTATGACTCTGGACTATAGGAGCAGAAGAAAATGTCCAGTCAATGGGACCAGCAGTTAGCATAATGGCTATGTCGCTGGACTCCCATGTAGTCGACCGAGGTTCACATCCCGGACCCGGTGGCTTAAAACTCACGCTGGGCACATGTGCATGCGTGCCCAAGATCCCGAGAGGAGAATGGAGAAGAAGGGATTGCAATGTGACCATCCCCCCTGGGGGGTGATTTCTCGCTTTCTGTCTTTCTTATCTCTCTCTGTATGTCTGGCGAGCACATGTGCCCTATAGCAAAAACCTCTCCAAAAAAAAGAAAAAGAAAATGCCCAGTCATTATGACAAAATACACTCAAAGCCTTAATAATTTATGTCTTTTGGTCCTTTGATTTTACCTCTAGAGAACACAAAGAAAATGAAGACAAACACAAATACTTAGCTCCAAGGATATTCACTATCGCATTGATTTTAATATGCAGAAGTACTTAAAAGCCTAAACAACAATGTAACATGTCACTGACCAAATAGATTATACAAGGGAGCTATTAAAATGTGTGTTACTCAACGATGTTTCATAAAACAGTAAGCTCTCCCCAATAAATTGTTATGTGAAAATAAACCTTTTAAAAGATAATGGTTTTTTTCATTGCCAAAGGACCTGTGTGTTCTCCAGAGAGAAACAGAGAAAAAGAGAAAGCATCCCTCAATGCGGCCTAGTCACGCCACAGTCCTTTCTCCATTTCTCTGTTCTCTTGGGATCTGGGGTATGCACACACACGTACTCAGCATGTTTTCACGCTGCCAAGCCCGGGAGTGGAACCACACTTGCAAGTGGGATCTGGCTCCCTTAACCACTAGGAGGCTATGGGCCTGGCCCAAATAGAATTCTGTCTTAAAGTACTGGAAGCATATGCTCTAAATGTTGATATTAGTGTCACTTTGTGATGGGATTACAGATTTGAACATTTTTTTTGATGGCCAAGATGTACTTAAGGAACCAGTAAATGGCAAAAAGTAGATGGCTTCATTTAACTCCCACGTTGTCAACCGCTGATCAAGTCCAGGGCCCGGTGGCGTAAACTCACGCTGGGCACGTGTGCGTGCATGCTCAAGATCCTGAGAAGAGAACAGAGGAAAATGGATTTCGGCGTGGCCATCCCCCCAGGGGGTGATATCTTGCTTTCTGTCTCTCTATCTCTCTGGCAAGTACATGCACACTATAGCAAAAATTTATTTTTAAAAATGTATTTAAGGGGCCAGCAGGTGGCATGGTAGCTAAGGCACTGGACTCCCACATGACCCATGGTTCTAGTCACGGACCTAGCAGCTTTCTCTCTCTCTCTCTTTCTCTCTCTCTCTCTCCCTCTCCCTCTCCTTCTCCCTCTCCCTTTCCCCCTCTGTGTGTGTGTGTCTCATAAGTATACATGCCCTATAGCAACAATTTTAAAATAATAATAAATACATTTAAATAATTCTAAATAAAAACCAAAAACAGTACTTAAATGCTTAACCAGTACCTCAGAATTGCTCATTAGAATTATAAATCCTGCCTCCAAGAAGATATATCACTTATTTTTTTTTTAAATTTAATTATTTATGTATTTATTTTAATTGGACCAGAGAGGGGCAGAGAGAGAGAGAGAGAAAGTGAGAAAGCAAGCCACCAGGTCTGGGACTCAAAACATGGTTGGCTATGTGGGAGTCCAGCACCCTTAACCACCATGCCCCCTGCTGGCCCCATCACTTAATTTTTTTAATGAACAGAATCAATTATTTTGTACTTGCCAGAGGGCTCATGTGCTCACCAGAGAGAGAGAGAGAGCAGGGTGTGGTCACACCACTCCTTTTTCCTTTGGAACATGCATGCACACACGTCCAGCATGTTTTTCAAGCTGCCAGACTGGGATTCTAACCGCAGTCACTCATGGGGGATCTAGCTCCCTTAACCACCGCGCGATGGAGCCTTCCCAATCATTTGACTTGATCGCAAAACAAACTAGAAGGGTCCGTTATCTTGATTGCTAGCTTCAGAACAGCCAAGGAGTGTGTGACGGCTACAACCAACAAGGAGATGACAGGGGAAGACGGTCTTTGCTAGGTCCTGTGTGCTCACAGCTCCTGCTTCGTGTTGTAGGTCCACGGGAAGTGCATGTGTAAGCACAACACGGCGGGCAGCCACTGCCAGCACTGCGCGCCACTGTACAACGACCGGCCCTGGGAGGCAGCGGATGGCAGAACGGGGGCTCCTAACGAGTGCAGAAGTAAGTAGCAGCCTGCAGGCCTCACAAGCCTTCGCAAAGTCCACGTCATCCGCGGACTCCTACGTGTCCCAGGAAACATGACATACAGTGGTGGGTGACAGACTGCACGCTATACAGACCGCCCATATCCAGACCAGCAAAGGACGTAGTGGTTATATCGCTGGACTTCCTTATGGCTGACCGCAGTTCAAGTCCCAGACTGGGTGACTTGAAAATCACTCTGGGAACGTGTGCGTGGTAGTTGCCCAAGATCCACAGAAGGGAAGGGATTGCAGCATGGCCATCCCCATGAGGGGTGACTTCTCACTTTCCCTCTCATTGTCTCTGTCTCTATATATCTCTCTCTTGGGCAAGTGCACATGTCCTAACGCAAAAACAAACAGCACATATCACTGCCCCCTGACTTTAACCACTGGAAACAATGACTGCAAAGTTCCTAATGTGACTGGGTTTGTTTGTTTGTTTGTTTTTAGAGGGTTTTTTCCTATAGGGTGTGTGCGCCAGAAAGTCAGAGAGAAAGAGACAGAAAGCGAGAAATCACTCCCCAAGGGGGATGGCCAGGCTGCAATCCCTTCTCCATCCTCCTTTCAGGATCTTGGACATGCACACACACGTGCCTGGTGAGTTTAAGCCACCAGATCTGGGACTCGAACCAAGGTCGCCTACATGGGAGTCCAGCGACATAACCATTATGCCAACTGCTGGTCCCGCTAATGTGACTGTTTTGCCAAGAATGTGTTGCCTATTTGCCCAGATGCCTTGTGGAACCTAAGCACTCTTCTTGAGAATTTGACAGAATAAAAACACGTGTGGACACCAGAGCAGCTAAGGGTTGTGGTGTACAGTTGTTCTCAGAGCTGGGACCTTGAGTTATTAACGTGGGAAGAGCTCTCTTGAATTCAGTTCTCAAAACAACCCAATAAAGCAGGTAGTGTTAATCCCATTTCAGAGATCAGGAAACAGGCTCAGTAAGATTAAGCAGCTTACTAAAGTTAGTAAATGGTATAGTCAGGATTTGATCCCAAGTCTTCAGAGTCCAAATTAGATGGTTTTGTTCATAATATCAAAATGTCTTTTTTTTCCTTTTACCTATAATACTTGAAAGGATAGATCTGATTAGAAATGAAATCAGTAGCTCAAGAATGAGATTGGAGTTGGCAGGTAACATGGTGGTTAGGGACGCTGGACTCCCATATGACCGACTGTGGTTCTAGTCTGGACCTGGTGGTTTGCTTTCTCTCTCTCTCTCTCTCGCTCTCTCTCTCCCTCCTTCCCTGGTGAAATTAAAATAAATAAATAAAGTTAAATAAAATAGTTCTTTTAAAAAATAAAAAAGAATGAGATTGCATTACCAGGACTAACTTTGGGTTTGGATATTAGCGATCAAGTAGGAGGGTAAAAGGGATAGGAATACGAGCCATTTTTTCCCCTGTAATTTAAAATGCTCAGAGAAATACACAAGCCCATAACAGTGTTTACACGCACAGACTTCTGTTTTACAAGGATTTAAAGTCAAGTACTCTGGGTAAAGTTGTGAGAAGCCTCTTCCCATACATAATTTGGAATCATAACTGATTTGTTTTTGTTTCTAGGAAATGTGAAGGATTTCCTCTAGCCATAAATCTTAAATTATCTTATAATATGCTTTTTTTAAAGATATGAATCTGGTCAAAATATCATAACATATCAAGGAAACAATGAAAAACAATAGCGCAAACGTTTTCAAATACAGTTGACCTTGACAGAAAAGTCTGGATTCTAATTCTAAATCACTCATCAAGAGAATCTAAAGGATTCCTCCTAAATTCCTGGAGTGCCGTTCTGGTCCTTTCCACAGAAGCCAACTGCATATCTAAAAACATAGAACAGAGAGACTGGTCACCTCATGCTGCTGACTGAAAATCTTAGAAATGCCTTTGAGAAATGATTGTATAAGCAACAGCACAGCTATAATAAGAAAACTGAAGCTTCTGTAGAGAACTAACTTGTACTCACCAGTGCAGTGGGATTTCAAAGAGTTTGTGGAGAAAAAATGGAATTAAAGTACAAGTGTATTTTGGTGCAAAAAATTTGAAATCCAGGGACCAGCAGAAGGCGTAATGGTTATATCACTGGACTCTCACATAGTTGACCATGGTATGAGTCCCAGACCCAGCAGCTTAAAACACACTGGGCATGAGTGCATGTATGTACAAAATCTCAAGAGAAAAATGGAGGAGAGTGGATTGCAGTGTGGTCATCCCCCTGGGGGGGTGATTTCTCACTTATTGTCTCTCTCTCTGTCTCTCTGGTGAGTGCACATGCCCTATAGCAAAAGTCTCTCTCTAAAATAATAATAACGGTTTGAAATCCATGCATCATTTTTTTCATAACATGCATTTTCCATGAACCTTTTGAAGACCCCTCATAGAACAACAGCCGAGGATAGTACCTCGTGACAGATAAAGCAGTCGACTCGCCAAGTTACTATGCCTGGCCCACCACAAGTTTCCTTTCAAGTTCATAAGTGAACGTGACTTCAGGCCTGTATCTGAATTGTCATTTTCACATAATGCCTGACATCCTTGGCTTTTCTAAGCGAGGTTGAGGGACCCACAGTCGTGACACCTGGGGAGTATCAGGAATGGAAATGGCAAAGTCTTAGTCTTCGGAAAGTCTCTCCTAACTAAATGTCAACCCCAGCTAGCAAGAGAACCATAATGACCTTGCCTAACTAGACAGATCCACAACTTGTTGACGGTCGTGCATATCCTAAAACATATTTTTTAATTGATAATTTATAATAAAAAAAACTGAATGGGTACACAAGAAACTAAATTAAAAAAAAATAATGACCTATTGAAGGCAAGAGGAAACAGAGTAAGCAGGCATGAAGAAACTAGAGTTCTCCATGTATACTTTTTATATTGTTTTTACTCTTGTACTGTACATTGCTCAAAAAACTACAAAAAAAAATAAGAATGAATGATCGGCAAGTGTAACGGATGTTTCAGTTCTGAATATTAGAGAGCCTGTTGCTTGACCTTTCATAACTGGAGTTCCCCTTATCCTTCCCTGGTCCAGCGTGCAAGTGCAACGGGCACGCCGACACCTGCCACTTCGACATGACCGTGTGGGAGGCATCGGGGAACCGCAGCGGTGGCGTCTGCAACGACTGTCAGCACAACACAGAAGGCCAGCATTGCCAGAGGTGTAAGCCAGGCTTCTACCGGGACCTCCGGAGACCCTTCTCTGCTCCAGATGCTTGCAAAGGTAAGTGGTTTTGAGGAAAAGAGGGAGATTTGCACAGAAGATGTGAACCTTTCCATCCTTCATTTTACTGACCCCAGGGAGAGAGGATATGAAATTCTCATATCGCACACTCACAGATCAGCTGGTGGTTTCTTGATTGATAAGGAGCAAGAATGTTCAAGCTGTTAGGGGAAAACAGTCCAATATTCATAAAAATAATCTTTCTTACTCCTCACGAAGTAAAATGGTTTCTTCTAGCAACTCATTTTGGAAAATAAGATGAATAATTAAAGAGGGGGGAAAAGATGAAGAGATTTTATTTATTTATTTAATTAATTAATTAATTTAGGTTTTGCCATAGAGACAGAGAGGGCCACATCACAATCTCTTCTCCTCCATTCTCTTGAAATGTTGGGCATGCACGTACATGTGCCCAGCATGATTTTCAAACCACTGGGCCTGGGACTTGTACCTCAGTCAGCCATGTGGGAATCTAACACCTTACCACCACGCCACTGCTGGCCCCAAGGAAAAGACATTTAAGATGATCTTGCAACTAAATACGTGAGTAGACGGTAGCCTATAACTGGACTCGAATTGATGTAGTTAGTACTGGTAGCCTGCTCTTGGGTCATTCTACCTTTCTCCTGCCCAGTGACCTTGAACACCTGACTACAGGTCTTGGTTCCATCATGAATACACTGGGGTCCCCACTGCTATAATATGTCTCCTGTATCCTAAGCTAACTGAGAACATAATAACTTCATGCTCTCCCCACAGACACTAAACTCGTAGAAAATAAGAGCTTTACTCGAAAAATAAATAAATAAATAAATAAATAAATAAAAACAAGATAAAAGAAAAAAGAATCAAATTTTTAAAAGATCTACCCAGTTCATGTGACATTATCTGAAACATGTGACTATAAAGAGAGCATAGGGCAGACGAACAGCTCATCTGACTACGTCCGTATTTGCTGTCTCTCAACGCAGAAATTATTAGACAATAGAAACCACTCCAGACTAGGAGTGATGATTAATCGATGACCTCTCCTTCCTTTCTTCACCAAGGACTCCATGTTCTAGCTCAACAATAGCGACAGGACGGAGCAGTACAGTGGGCGACGGCCATTTTAAACCTTGGGGGTTTTATTGTTTTGGGTTTTTTTTAAGGTGAAATTATATTGTTTTTTAAAATGGCATATTTTTAATATCAGGAGACAACATCTACGTGAAAGTTGAATGGGCTTGCTTCTTATAAGCCTTCCCTCTCTTTAGGGGAAGACAGAGTATGATACAATCCACTCTTGACCTCAAGCCCCCAGTTTGGATTTCTGCCCTAATATTTCTCCAAGAATTCTGATTTACTCCTGCTCCTTATTTGTACTCAGGCTTTTATTTTAATGAATTCCAAACAGATCTGGATTAGATTCCTTCATTGCCATCCACCAGCTGCTGATCCTATGGCTGCTATGGGATTTCTTTGGCCTTCAGTTTCTTCAAATGTAAAATTCTCCCCTGAGAACTATATAAGATAAAGTATCTACTTAAGATAAATGTTCAGCACAAATTGCTTGTCATGCAATATGCCCTCAAGAAATGTAAACTAGTACGAGCTGCATATCCCTTATCTGAAAGGGTTAGGACCAGAAGTGTTTTGGATTTTAGATTTTGGGGAATTTGAGAAAATTCACATATACAAAATAAGATACCTTGAAGATGACACCCAGGTCTAAACAGGAAATTAATTTATGCTTCAGATACACCTAATACACCTAACCTAAAGGTAATTCTATACAATATTTTAAATAGTTTTGTGCACTGGGCCAGCAGGTAGTGTGGTGATTCAAGCACTGGACTCCCACGTGGCCAACCACAGTTCAAGTCCCAGATCTGGCATCTTGCTTTTTCACTTTCTCTCTCTCACTCACTCTCTCACTCACTCTCTCTCTTTCTCTGGTGAGCACACATGCCCGATAGCAAATTTCAAAATACTAATAATAAATAAAATAAAATAAATGTAAAAGAGAGAGAGAGACACCGGCTTAGTGGAATCCATGCACACACACACAGAGCCGTATGTTACTTAGCAACAAGGATACATTCTGAGAAATGTGTCCTTAGGTGATTTGTCATTGTGTAAGCATCGCAGAGTGTACTTACAGAAACCCAGGTGGAATAGCCTACTGCTCACCTAGGCTATATGGAATACCCATTGCTCCTAGTCTGTAAGCCTGTATAGCATGTCGCCGTACTGAATACTGTCGGCAGCTGTAACACAATGGTAAGTGTTTGTGCATCTAAACATAGAAAAGGCACAATAAAAAAAATGGTATAAAAGGTTTTTAAAGGCACCAGCAGATGGCATAGTGGTTAAGGTGCTGAACTTCCATGTGGCCAACCACGGTTCGAGTCCTGGACCCAGCTCCTTGAAACTCATGCTGAGCACATGTGCGTGCATGCCCAAACTCACAAGAGGCGAATGTAGAAGTGATTATGGTGTGGCCATCCTCCATGAGGAGTAATTTCTTAATTTCTCTCTCTCTCTCTCTCACACCCCCGCCCCCCACCCCCCGCTCTGGCAAGCACACACACCCTATAGCAAAAATCTCCAAAAATACTTTTTTAATTGTACATCTGTATAGGGTACTTACCATGAATGGAGCGTGTAGGACTGAGCGTGGTGACAGCTGCAACACCTTCGGGTGATGACTTCTGCAGCTTGGTTGTTATCTTCTAAGACCACCGTAGAATGGGGAGGTTTTCTACAAGTTCACAGAAAATGCTCCTTATGAAAAAGCTAGGTATGATTTTTTTTTTTTTGCACCAAAATAAACTTACTTTTTAATCTCATTTTCCCCATAAACTTGTTGGAGTCCCCTTGAATGTATAGTCCCTCATAAACTGAAACATTATGTGGTGCATGTGTGTGTGTGTGTACACAGAATTGTGTTAGAAAGTATGGAGGGGAACACATAGAAGAGGCAAAAACAAATTTGAGGGTTCAAAGTTTTGACCTGAGACCTAAAGTTTACCAGGAGTTAAGACAGTGTGGGTAAAGGTGTTCCCAGCAGAGAGGAAAAACCAGTGCCAAAAAGGGCCAGGAGGGAGCATATTCTGACAACCGAGAATAGTTCAGGACATCCACAGAGAGAGAAGGAGGAAGGGAAGGTGACAAAGCAGTAGGAGGGTGACAGCTGTGAGAGGGCGAGTGACTGGCGGGAGGCACCCTCCTCTTGGACATCCTGGTCAGTGGGCAAAGAGAGCTCATGGATCGAACTTCCCACAAGCTGGGGGTGACCACTCAGTGAGCATCACTTAGTCTAACTGCCCGAGCTCCACCAAGCTGATCTTTCTGGTAGCGTACAGGTAGAAGGTCAAAGGCGGCAAAGCTGCTTCAGTGAAAACGTCATGAAGACCACATTACAATATGGGCAGGGGGGCTGTAAGTAGGAGAAGTACGAAAATAACTGATGCTGATTTAGCTCTTCTAGCATCACTTGTAAAAGATGTGTGGATTCGTAGAGAAGATCTGTATTTCCTTCTGCTTATAGTCCTCATCCACTGGGACACTCTCGGAAGAAGGCATGTCCTCGTTGGGTTATGACTATTCCAGGATATATTTGGGAAGAGACACCTGTGTCGACTGCCCTAGAATACTACCCTGGTTCTCCGTTCCATTTTCTGAGCTTTGCAATAGATCCCAACACTTATCAACGTATCCAATTCTTTCCTCTGTTTAAATACTGTCAATAAAACATTGTCTGATTGACAATGTGTTTCTCAACATTTTCACTATTATCCAGTAGTATCTTCATATGGTTAATGTCCTACTTAGCAGACATATCCCTATGTTAACTCTTCCCTTGTTAATTCTGATGATAAAGTTTACCCAAAAAAAAGTTGGCATATTTAACACTTTCTAAGTACCTGTAGTGCACCAGATTTCCTGCCAGGTGCTAATAAGAAACTGCTATAGCTAAAAGTTTTCCTTCCATTAGTTCTCATTTTACTTGTATGAGAAATATAATCCCAAGGAAACAAGTTAATGTTTAAAAAATTTAAACTATCTCAGCCTGTGCTTTCATTAACAACATGAACAATGTTATTCAAAATAACAATGTTTTTATTTTTATTCTACTGTGTCTACCAGGGCATAAAAGTAACCTGTTACTCTGTGTGTGGTCCATAGACGAGCCACATTGTCATCATCTGGCTGCTGATTAGAAATGCAGGACCTCTGATCCCACCCCAGACCTACTGAATCAAAAAAGCACTTGAATAAAATTCCCAGGTGATTGTATAATATCATATTAAAGGTTAAGAGTACTGAAGAGTGCTCTAGAATGTAGAAAGATTAAAAGCATTTTAACACTACTCTACAGTTAAAATTATTTTTTAAGAGAGATTTTTGCTATAGAGTGTGTGAGCTCACTGGAGAGACAGAAAGAGACAGAAAATGAGAACTCACCCCCCCATGGGGGGGGCATGCCTCAATCCCTCTCCTCTGTTCTCCTCTTGGGATCCTGGGCATGCATGCATATGTGTCCAGCATGAATTTTAAGCCTCCAGGCCTGGGACTTGAACTGTGGTCAACTACATGGGGAGTCCAGCAACGTAACCATTACGCCATCTATTGGTCCTTACAGTTAAATTTTTAAAAAATAGCTAGAACATTCTGTTTAACCAAGCATCTAAATTAACCAAGGATTACATTTCTATTGGTGTGCATATAGAGATAGAATTATTTATTTTTTTAAGAGATTTTTTGCTATAGGGCACCTGCACTTGCTGGAGAGACAGGGGCAGAGAGACAGAAAGTGAGAAAAAAAAAAAAAAAAAACAAGGGGGGGAGGCCCCCCGGAAAAAAAAAAAAACAGGTGGGATGGCCACACTGCAATCCCTTCTCCTCCATTCTCTCAGGATTTTGGCCATGCATGCATACATGCCTGTGTAAGTTTTAAGTCACTGGGTCCAGGACTCAAACTGCAGTTGATGACATGGGAGTCCAGTGATGTAACC